CTTTTGCAGCCTTTGCCGCGCTACGAAGCACTATGATTCTCCTGATCAAAAGAAGAGGGTTGTGCAAGCTCCCAGAAAGACGCGAGCGGGGAATAAATGACCCTGAGCTGCAACACATTTTCTTTCATCGTTTACTGAACAAACTATCGAACTGAGACGGTTTCAGACTTACATCGTGAATACACAACTGCTCTTCCAGCGACACATTTGTTGACAAATAAGTTTCTTTAAAGGGGTAAATACGGACATTCAATATAACTGATTGAATATTTTGTATTTACAGGCGTGAAAACTGCTATGACTATTAGCCCCGTAAGTGCAGTGCATGTTTTTTTAATAACGCTACATGTCAGTGATCTTCCCACGCAGCATGGTGAGATCCGACACCAACCTACACGTCAACGTGTTTGTTTTTTTTAAACCTAGTGTCTGCCGATCAGATCATCCGTCTCTTTAGAATTCTCCTCTAGACAGCGGCATAATTGGACCTAATTATCTATCTAGAGTTGTAAATCCTGCCACTGTCGAAACTCGACCTCATGAACCTTCCGTTTGGAGGCATTGCAATGATATCAGTCGACGCCCTGAGCCACCTAGACCGGTCTCTCCAAACAAAATGAGATGAAAAAGTATTGATTCAGAAATATCAAAATAGTTTAAAGCATTAAACTCGCGCCGAATTTCTCAGAGAAATGTTTCTACACCGTCTCTTGACGACCGAGGAGTCCTTATTTCTAAGGGAAACCAGACAATTTGTAAATATTTTTAATTAATATGTATTATTCAAATGATATTTAGTGTGTATTTTTTTAATATAGACTTGGAGAAAATATATATATATATATATAAATTGAAGATAATTTTAGTGTGTACGAAGTTACAATTTTAGCACATCACTGCAAACATAAGTCAACCTTGCAACTTCCTAATTGAAATATATTTTTAAACCATTGCTATTAGAATAAACGCATTGTGAATATTATTAATTATGAAGTTATTCCTTATCTTTGATCAGGAATCCGTGACAGAAAACAGAAATGTGCTCTTAGGAAAGAAATTTAAGGAAAAAATCTTGAGTCGGAGCAAAAATATTGAGTGCTTCTGTTCTGTATTGAGTGCTAAAATTTGTGTAATTGCTAAACCAAAAAATATTGACTGTCTCTAACCCCTTCTTACCATGGCGCACGATCTATGGTGTGAAAATAATTCTTTATATATTTTGTGATGTTATTATTTCAAAATAATTTAATTCGGTAAATGTTTTTAGGCAATCAAAATATAATCATGTAGATTATTTTTAGTTTTCAGGAAGTGATTTGAAATTGTGAATTAATATTCTAGAATTAATATTAATTATTCTATAATGTAATTGTGTTTCATAAACTAGGTACTCAATACACTAGAAAGGAATTCAAACTTCTGTTCCTGAAAGTAACTCAACATAAACAGTATTCCTAGTGAAGTGTATTTTACAATTAATCATAAGTCTGTTTTGAAAATTAAATGTGAAATATAGGAGCGTGGTGTTTTTTGTATTGTGAAGTATTCCTTTTTTGAAATTATAGTTGGTTCTTCTACGAAAATAGTGACATTGGCTATTAAGAAAATATTGTATGACTGATTAAGCAAGTATAGTTCAGCAATTTTCTAGTAAACGTTTGTACATATCTGCAACTTTCATAGAATCATTTTACTAGATGATACCGAATTTTCGATGAACATTTTTAGAATGAAAAGAATGCTTGCTATTTTTTAAAAGTATCTGATAGAGAATATAAATCACATTTTTCCAATGTCCGTTATACGGCCAATACTTTATGTGTTGGAATCCCCGTTGACACGACCTTCAATTTTAATTCAGCGTGTGAGGCCGGGCAATCTGGAGAAGTCAATATTTTGAAAAAAATTGACACCGAGTTGAAAGTATAAAATTATGCAGTGACATCTACTGTATGTACGAACAATGAATTGCGTTAAACAGACGTTCATAAAAGAAACAAAACTTGGGAATATCTTGTGCGTATCGTTCTTGTGCATATAAGTGATTGATAGAATGAAACAATCACTGTAAATGTCCAGTAGCAACGTACAAATATGGGTGATCTGGGCTGTCCGGGTGACGCCACGTCGAAGGCTGAGTTGCCGACGTTTCGACCATCCTGTCGTGGCAAAACGTCGGCAACACAGCCTTCGTCGCGGCGTCACCCGGACAGCCCAGATCACCCTCATGACTCTGGCCGCGGAAGCCTACGACTTCAACGTACAAACATTTTTAGATAGCCTTTAGTAAAGGAAGTTACTGTTAGAGCAAGCAAAGCGTACCAAAAGGTAAATTTTCAGCATTAGAGCTACAAGTGAAACGATGATCAAATGTTCAGATAAAACTGTGAATGCTGCGAAGAAAACAAAATACTTTCATTTGATCGCATCAGCTACTACTGACCTCAATTTATCGTGGTACAGAATTGTGATTTGTATTCTTGAAAATGAAAGTAAGGCTAAGTGTATGACACATATAAGTGATAGAAATTTGTGTGTAATACACGGGGGGGCGGGGGAGTCGGAGTGGATTCTTGGCGGTGGGATGGGTAGTTTGGTTCGGGTGGGTAGCTTCGGGTTGGGAGGTGGGGTTTGTGGGTTGGGGTTGGGTGGGATGATTGGGGTTTGGGTCGGGTTAAGTGAGTGGGGGCAGAGATGCGGGCGAGGGAGCGGGCGGGGCAGGGGGGGCGGTGAGAGGGGGGAGGCGGGGAGCGGGCGGGCTTAGGCTTTGGACGGGCTTGGTTAATAGCGGTGGGGTGGGTTTTCGGACGAGGGGGAGTGGGTGGTGGCGGGGGTTTGCGGCGCGGTACGAAGTTGCAGGAGCTGGGTGATTGCGGCAAGGGTGGTGTGAGTATCGGGGGGGCGGGTGGGTTTGGTTTCGGGGGCGGGCGGGCGGGCGGGGTTTTGGTTTGGGTGGGGTGGGTGGGGTGGTGGGTGGGTGGGTGGGTGGGTGGGTGGTGGGGCGGGCCGGGCGGGCGGGTGTTGTGTTGAGATTGGTTGTTGTTGTGTGTGTTTGTAGTGATAGGTATGTGAGTGGGGTGGGTGGGTGGGTGGTGCGGATCTGCGGGGGCGGGCCCGGGTCGGGGCGGCGGGCGGGGCGGGCGGCGGGGCGGGCCGGGGGGCGGGCGGGCGGGCGGGGCGGGGCGGCAGCGGGGGTGCAGGGCGGGGGGGGCGGGCGGGTCGGGCGGGCGGCGGGCGGGTGGTTTTTCGGGCGGGTGGTTCGGGCGGGCCGGGCGGGGGGGCTGGGGGGGGCGGGGGGGCTGGCGGGTCGGGCGTGGAGGGCCCCGGTGGCGGCGGGCGGGCGGGGCCGGGCGGGCGGGCGGGCGAAGGGCGGAGGCTGGTGGTGGTTGGTCGCGGGGCGGGGGCGGGCGGTATCGGGCCGGGGCGGTTTTGGCGGCGGGCGGCGCGGTTCGGGGGGGGGCGGTGTCGGGCGGGCGGTGTCGGGCGGGCGGCGGGCGGCGCGGGCAGGGTGGGCGGGTGGGCGGGTAAACGGGCGGAGGGCCTGCGCCCGGGGCGTCTGCATCGCGGCACGCCCTTTGAAGTGAGCACGCGTGGGCAGGCGGCGCAGGGAGCCCGCTGCACGAGACGCCCCGAGCGGTCGGCCCCCGGCCCGGCCCGGCCCGGCCTGCGCGGCGAGAGGGCGGGGCGAGCGGAACAAAGCGAACGGCGCCAATGGGAATGATCCGCGTTGAGAAAGCCAACGAGACAACTTCTGTGGGGTACCTCACCATGTGATGCTTCTGAATCTTGTCGACGAGTTTTATTACATTAATAAAAGTGTTTTCATTATTATTCACCTTTTTTAGATTGTAGAGACTTTCAGGGAATTAATAGAGTGGTGCATGAGAAGTAGTACAATTCGTCCGGTCATTTAAAATATATAAGCAAAGGGATACGTTGAATAAAGAAAATTCATCAATGCGATCAAACTAGGAGTAGAACTATACCTTTTCATAATTATAAAATTTCTACAACTTCATAATCATATCAAAAATCATAATAAATTTAAAAAAACTAGTCATGTTAGTAGAATAAAACAAAAATCTATGACTTATCTAACTTTTCTTCCGAAGGAAGGCATTCGAGACCATGAATGCTTATGAAATTCGAGCCCAATTAATGACTAAAGTATCAATCAATACATTAATCAATGTTGCCTTATTTTACGTGGCAAGGCTCAAGCCATCAGTCCTGCTTTGGAGCCTGATCACATAAAGTTCGTTCCGCTCCTTTTGCCATCTATCAGAGAAGAAAATTTAACTCAGGCGACAAAATAAGCGACATGAAGGTTGCTTGGAGGTTTATTTTAGGGTTAATAATATTTTACATATAGTAAATCTACAACATTGAATAGCCGGCTTTATTTTCCTTCCGAAAAGAACGCGTATAATGGATTTTTTCGCCTTTAAAAGTCCACAGCTCGCGCCGAGTTTGCACTAACGGCTAAAGTAACACGAACGTAATAACGGAACCACACCAAACAGCAACAAGTTTCTGAAAAGAAAAAAAAAAAGAAAAGAAAAAATGCTGTCTCACCGATGACGGAGAGGCGGTAGCGGAAGGAGCGCGTGGGCGTGTTGCGGAAGTCGACGCGGCAGCGGTACACGCCCTCGTCGTGGCGCCGCACGTCCTCCACCACGAGCTGCGCGGGCTCCTGCACCGTGCGGAAGTAGGCGCGGTTGCCGAACGGCTTGGGCGCCGACCAGTGGCGCGCCTGGCTCAGCGGCTTCCCGCGCACGTCGAAGCTGCAACAGGCAACAGCGCGCAGCGCTCAGTCACCGCCGGCCTGCATGAGTTCATTTAGGAATTGATAAACTTTTTTTTTTTTTGGTCGACCATTTCAAACAAAAATTGTTTGCTCCGTTGACCACCTTACGTTATACTCTATAACACACCATACGCAATCATAACACAAAGAATTACACAAAACATCAGAAACCTTCCTTATTTATAATTGATATATATGCTGTGATATATATGCTGTGATAAATGTTGAAAAAATATTATCTATTCTTTTCATTTTTTAGACATTCAGCAAGATTTCAACGTGCTCTTTTATGAGATAGTTCTTATGGACTCTTTTTGCTTTCTTACGAATTCTTTGTAAGAAGAAAAAGTAATGTAATCACGCTCGAGAAAACTCTTAATTTTTTAAAGTTACCTTTAGCTGTA